TTTGAGTTACCCATTTGTAAATAAACGGTTTAAGACAAAAGATGTGTTTTCATAAAACGGTATTTAATGAGAGATAATTTGAATGTTTTAAGGTATAAGTAGATCCTTATTTACACTTTCTACTTAATGCACTTTCTAGTTTGGAGAAACTGTATGAGGAAATTACACTAACGGTTGGTACAAGGGAGTAAATTACCTAAGCGTGTGTTTAGGCAGCCAGCAGCATAAGGAGCTGTTGTTTTTCTTTCTGATAAATGATGGATTTTTTGTTTAATAGCAATAATATTAGCCCAAATTTTATGTATAGTACGCATTTGTTCAATGATGATTGGGCTGTAACTGTTAATATAAAAAGAGATTGTCCTAGGAGCAGGAAAGTCAGTTGTGAATATTTAGGTTGACATTATATTTATTTCCTAAATGCTGTTAGTGGAACACAACATTTCCTCTTAATTACCACAAATCACAATCTTCTACCACAGATTCTTTGAACATAGGTCTATTTTCACATGAGCATTTTAATGTTTTGGGGTTTTTTAATTTGAAAAAAATGCTTTGTGAAGGTTGTTATTCTGTCATTACGTTAAAAGTGAGATCAGACTTTCATCTTCTGCAGTTAGTGGTACCATTGCCTCATTCTTGGACTGTGATTATCATCAATAAAAGAAATCCTTGACCACTTAAGCAGAAATAATGATCTGCGTTTCATAGAATAAGCATAGAATGGTCAAGGTTGCAAGAAATGTTTAAGATCATCCAGTCCCACGACACAGCATTCCCCTGTAACCCCTAAATCACTAAACCACACCACAACCAGCAACAGATCCAGACTCCTCTTGAGCATCTCCAGGGATGGCGAGTCTACTACCTCCCTGAGCAACCTATTTCCTGACCACTCTAACAGTGAAAAAGATTTTTTTCTAAAATCCGACCTGAATCTCCCCTGTCTCATCTTAAGGCCATTGCCTCTGGTCATCTCACTGCAGGCACAGCAGAGGAGACCGGCCCCCTCCTTTCAGGGAGCTGTGGAGAGTGATGAGATCCCCCCTGAGCCTCCTCTTCTCCAGACTAAACAAACCCAAATTCCTCAGCAATAAGACATTTCTAGTCCTTTCATGAGCCTTGTTGCCCTTCTCTGGACACTCTCCAGCATCTCAAAGTCCTTTTAAAAGTGAGGGGCCCAGAACTGAACACAGGATTCAAGGTGTGGCCTCAACAGTGCCAAGTGCACAATCACCATCTTGGTCCTGCTGGCCACATTATTCTTGATACAGGCCAGGATGCCATTGGCATTCTTGGCCATCTGGGCCCACTGTTGGCTTATATTGAGCTGGCTTCAACCAGCAGCACCCCCAAGTCCCCTTCTGCAGAACAGCTCTCCAGCCACTCCTCCCCCTAGCCTGTAGCACTGCATGGAGTGATTGTGACCCAAGTGCAGATATAACACCTTGTGTTTTAAGCCTCATGAATCTATCCTTACCTATTGATTGAGTCTCTCCAAATCTCACTGTAGAACTTTTTTCCCCCTTTAGAAAAGACTATTCTCATCCTAGAAGAAAATTCCAAACCTACCAAGTATGCAAACGAAAAGTTGTTTAACATGCCACGGTGGTCTATACCAACTAAATTAATTGTTGTGGGTATCTCTGAGTTTGATACAAGGAATGAAGCATGACTGTCCAGTGTTGTGGTGTGCTGTTTTGTCTTAGTGTTCTCCTTTAAGTTAGACGGTTTGTTCTCATGTTTGCACCCCTAGGTTGCTGCAATATGGTTCAGTCCTTTCCCACCTCCCCCATTATCCCTCAACCCTATACCACACCTACCTTCCAGAATGTTCCCTGTTCGTCTCCCGAGTCTCCTCCCAAAGCCCTCTCAGTCCTCACTAGCTCCTCCCATCGTCCAAGAATGTTCCATGTCTGTTATTCCCTCCTTGTTAAGTGATTTGATGTTGTACCCCGGTTACCACCCATGTATCTCCTCATTGGTTTACCGTTCTCTTTTCCCCGCCTTAGATACCTCCCCTCGTCGATCGCAATTGGCCAGAGGTTTGTACCCTCCCCTTGTACCGCCCCTCTATTTAAGTCCATGCACAGCCTGTTTCACCGCGTTTTGCGGTTCCCTCTCCCAGACCTCATACCTCTGTTTGGTCCCTTCAATAAACCTCCCTTCCTGGAACCGTGAAAGGTCTCTCCTGGACTCTTTATCTCTCCTGGACGGATTGCCCAGCTATAGCGAAAGCTATACCTCTTCTGCGGCTCCCAGAGCGGTGCCGGGGAGAGGCCACTCCTTGACGTGGGCTTCTTGGAGCTAGCCGGGAGCCCAGGTGGAGTGAGCGTTTTGGGGAAGGAGCGTCAGATTGGCGCCCAACGTGGGGCCATTTCGCCGGTGACCCCACAAAGAGCCTCTAGGATTTGAGGATCAGAGGTGTTGGGCATCAACTACCCCGGCTGGAGCAGGCCAGATCGGCAGCACTCCCAGGGAGAAGGCGGCAAACCTCTGTCTGGAGGACCACTTTCGAGGGAGAGACCTTCCATTGCGGCACCAGTCCCAGGAGCTGACAGAGCCAGTAAGTATCCCCCAAAGGGTGACAGGGGCTTGACAGAAGGCAGGGCGGGGTGCACAGCCCTAGGTGTGAGGACCCCTGAGCCAAAAAGCCGCTTGCCGGCTGCAGGAAAGCACCCCTGCCTTTAGTCCCCAAAGGGTGGGGACTCACTGGCCCTGGGACCCTTATTTTTAGTTTTTTTAAGTTTTCCTTTGCAGCTGCGGGAGAGTGTGTTTGCTGTGCAGGCGCTAGGCACACCTCCATGGGCGCAAGGCTGTCAGCACAGCAACGGGGGATGTTTGTCCAAGTTGTGGGTGCCCTGGAGGGTGGGAAAAAGAAGTTTTCAAAGGGTTTGTTGAAAAAGTTCATTCAGTGGCTTGCTTCCCAATTTCCTGGGGTGTCGCCCCAGCAGCTGGACTCGGTCCGGTTCTGGGAGTCTGTTGGGCAGAGGTTGACCAGTTTGAGTGCTCAGGGCGACACCTCCGTAGACAGATTCTTTGGCCTTTTCATACAGATAAGATTGGCTGTAAGGGAAAAGGCGGGGAAGGGAGGCAAGCCAAACCGAGATTCCCCAGTTGCTCCCTCCTTACCTAGCCCTCGACCCTACCCCTCTTCCCCTAAATCGGGAGATCCGAGACGAGCAGCCCGGCAATGTTCGCAGGTGAGCCTGGCCGGGGAAACCAGCCACTGCTCGCCTGGCCCCTCTCGGTCTCCACAATACCGTAGCCCTGGTGGCCAGGGGCCTGTCATCAGGGAGCCTTCTCCTAGTCCTTCTTCCCACTGTTCCCTTTCCCCAAGTTACACCCCAGTTTCGACCCCAAAGTCGGTTTTGAAGGGTTGTAAATCCTGTAAATGTATCCCCAAACCCTCTCCTGCCCCTATCCCAAATTTCACCCTCAAGACCCTGAAATCAGTTAGGTTTCAATCGTTTCCCCTGGAGCCACAAAATGGCGTCCTAGACTCCAGTGCTCAAGATGGTGCTGGCCACGTGGCATGGCTGGTCCCTTGTGCTCTGGTTCCTTCTTCCCATAATCCCTTTCTCTCCGACTTTTGCCCTCCTCCTCCACCGGTGGCTCTGCCCTTTGTCCTATGTCCCAACCCTTTCCTGTTCCCTCCTCCTTCCCCTAGTCCTACCCCTTTCCCCTCCCACTGGAGGGACGTTCCTCCTCCCCAGGCTCCTCCCACTTCTCCACACGAAAGTCCACCTCCTCCTCCACCCCCAGAGAGGCAGCCCTCAAGCTCTTTAGGTTCCGCCCATCATGAATGTTGCCAGTGTTCTGGCTCCTCCTTGGCAAGTGGTCCCGCCCCTCCGTTTCTGACTTCCGATTCCCACGCCCCTCCTTGTGGTTCCCATGCTCCAGAAACCGGAAGTGACAGGCCAGCAGATCCGAACCCGAACCTGGAACTGGAGACCACTCTATTCGCCGCACCAGTTTTTTACTCACAACAACGGGGTATTCCAAATTGGTGTCCCTTTGAATACTCCCACAAGGAGATTTGTAAAGCTCAGAAGAGTTCGGGAGAAGGAGTGAGTATTTCAAAGGTTTATTACAGGCGACCTTCTCCTCCAACATTTTGGTCCCTAGTGACCTAAAGGGTTTGTTCAAATGTCTCCTCCTGTCAACCGAGTACGGGTTGTGGGAGGACACATGGAAGAGGCTGCTAGGGGAACTCCTACCTGAGCTATTGCAAATCCCCGGGTGCGCCATTGACACTGATCAGAAACCAATAACTATGGAGCATCTGTGCGGTGAAGGAGAGTGGTTGCAGGTGGAGGCACAGGCTGACAAAATTCCTAAGCCTGTGATTTTAAAGATCCAAGCCGCTGCCAAGAATGCATTCATGATGATGCCTACCACCAAACCCCAAATCAATTATGCGACCATCAAGCAGGGACCGGCGGAACCTATCATAGAATTCGTAGAGAGGTTGAAAATTGAAATCGAGAAACAGGTTAAGAATACAGATACACTTGAAGAACTAATAATTGAAATGGTTAAGCTAAATGTCAACGAATCTTGTAAACGTGTAATAACCTCTCTTCCCTTGTATCTGGAGCCGTCTCTCCGTCTCATAGTGGAGGCCTGTGCCAAGAGAGTAGTGGTGCAAGTACCATCAATACCAAGCAGAGGAACAACAAGACCAGCAGCGATGGCAGCCACCACCAGAACATTCCCTGTGTGCTGCTTTATTTGTAACAAGCCGGGGCATGTAGCGTCCATCTGCCTGGAAAAGAATAACACCAATACCGGGCAGATGCAGGGAGAGGCAGGAGGAAACTCCATGCTAAAAAAAACACTAAGTGGGGACTGTGAGCCCACCTCGCTTGTGAATAAAAATGAGGTGGGCCACTGGGGGGACTTGGTGGGGGGGCGTTTTAACTACTGATTGTGACAACAATACTGATTGTGACACTAACACCAATCTTGACGTTTACCGGACAAGATGCATAGCGCCTGAGTGGACCCCTCGTCCACCTTTGAGCTTGGCCTTGACAGACAACACCCTTTTTGAGATGCACGACTGGCAGCTTGTATCGGTAAGACCCACGTCACCGGGTTTGTTCACTGGACTCGACTGCACGTATGTCGTGCTTGGGGATACAAAGTGTACTCGTCCGGAGATTGAAATCATGCTGCAGATGCAGCTTTTGTGTCCGGATGGTTTCTTTCTCCTGGCACAGTGCATCCATCCACCGTACTTCCTGCCAAAGGAACAGCTAATAATGCAGGCGACCCTGGTGCCCAACACCATTGTGGCGAAGCCAGCTGATCCCTGCGTCTATTGGGCCGAAGTTATTGGTGAGGATAAACCAATCATTGGGTGTGGACTCCGTTGGGGTGAGGATTACTTCTACCTCGGCGGACTCTTTGACACAGGAGTGGATGTGACAATTATACCAACTGAAAATTGGCCATCACATTGGGAATTGCAACCCGTGGCTGGCAAAATACAAGGAGTCGGGGGGGCCCAATTGGCCCGGTAGGCCAAGAGTGTGATTAAAATTGAGGGACCGGAGGGACAGGTGGCTAATGTCCGGCCTTTTGTCATGGAGTATAAAGCTCCGCTGTGGGGTAGAGATGCCATGTCACAGTGGGGAGTGCGCATTGAAATCCCGAAATCCCCGCGGGATTTTTGCTAGCGGCCACTGTGGAGTGCCCTGTCCAAAAACTGAATTGGCTATCTGATGATCCAGTCTGGATAGATCAGTGGCCACTCAACAAACAAAAATTAAAGGTGCTCAGCAAACTCGTGGAGGAGCAGTTGGCCAAAAGTAACATTGAGCCAATCTGGAGCCCTTGGAATTCTCCTGTGTTTGTCATCAAAAAGCCGGGGAAGCACAGTGGTGGCTCCTTCACGACCTTCGTGAAATCAACAAGAAGATCGAAGACATGGGGTCTTTACAAACAGGTATGCCCTCGCCCTCAATGCTGCCGCAAAATTGGAATCTGGCAGTTATCGATATAAAAGATTGTTTCTTCCAAATTCCCCTTGACCCCGAAGATGCACCGCGGTTTGCCTTCTCAGTTCCCTCCATCAACCGGGAAGCCCCAGTGAGGCGCTTCCATTGGCAGGTACTGCCTCAGGGCATGAAGAACAGCCCCAGTATCTGTCAATGGTACGTGGCCTCATTGCTGTCTCTGGTTCGTGCCCAAGGTGGGGAGGCCATCATCCTTCATTACATGGATGACGTGCTGATTTGTGCCCCTATGGACAACAGCTGCAGCAAGTCCTTGACTTAGTCATTGAAGTTTTGATGTCTGCAGGGTTTGAACTCCAGAAGGAGAAAGTTCAGAGGTTGCCCCCGTGGAAGTATCTTGGGCTCCAAATTACCAACCGGACCATTGTTCCACAAAAATTGTCCATTAACACCAAACCAAAAACCCTTGCGTATTTCCACCAAATGTGTGGGTCCTTGAACTGGGTCAGACCCTGGCTAGGCTTAACCACCGAGGACCTAGCCCCCCTTTTCAATTTATTGAAAGGGGGAGATGAGTTAGTTTCTCCTACGGTACTGACCCCAGAGGCCAAGGCCGCACTGGAAAAGGTAGAGAAGGTGATAGAGTTGAGACAGGCCCATCAATACCTGCCGAACTTGCAGTTCGAGTTCATCATCCTGGGAAAGCTGCTGCATCTCCATGGCCTCATTTATCAGGGGGACCAGGACCAGAGGGACCCCCTCTTGATTACAGAGTGGGTGTTCCTCAGTCACCAACAGTCCAAAAGTATCACCAGGCCACAGGAACTGATGGCTCAGCTGATCAGGAAGGTCAGGACTTGTTTGTGAGAGCTGGCGGGTTTTGATTTTGCGTGCATTCGAGTACCACTTGCCCTGTCATCGGGCAAGTAGACCAAGGAGATTTTGGAGCATTTGCTCAAGGAGAATGAGACTCTCCTGTTTGCTCTTGATAGCTACACCAGACAAATATCTGTCCATCACCAGAGCCACAAATTATTCAATTCAAATTTCAATTTGGTCCCTAGGGATAAATTGAGCGGAGTGCTGCTCAAAACTCTGACTGTGTTCAGAGATGCATCCGGGGCTTCTCACAAGTCGGTCATGACTTGGAAGAACCCCCAAACTCAGCAGTGGGAGGCAGAGGTTAAGATTGTTGAGGGTTCCCCTCAAATTGCTGAGTTGGATGCTGTAGTTAGAACTTTTGAGAGGTTCTCTGAGCCACTCAATCTGGTAACAGATTCTGCGGATGTGACGGGTGTAGTATCTAGAGCAGAGAGCTCAGTTTTAAAGGAAGTCTCAAATCCAAACCTCCACTGATTGTTCTCGAAGTTAATCTATGCTGTCTCCCACCGAGAGCACCTGTACTTCGTTATGCACGTAAGATCACATACAGACCTGCCAGGCTTCATCACAGAGGGAAATCAAAGAGCGGACGCCCTGGTCGTGCCAGCTGAGATGGCTGGGCTCCCTGGTGTTTACCAACAGGCAAAGCTGAGTCACCAGAAGTTCCACCAGAATGCACCCGGCTTGGTATAGCAGTTCCAACTAAGCCGTGGCCAGGCCAGGGGCATTGTGCCCACATGTCCCCAATGCCAGAAGTTTGGGGTACCAACCCTGAGCTCTGGTGTGAACCCTAGAGGCCTGGAGAGTTGCGAACTGTGGCAGATCGATGTCACCCATGTCCCACAGTTCGGCAGGTTAAAGTATGTACATGTGAGTGTGGACACCTTTTCCGGGGCAGTCTTCGCTTCTGCCCGCACAGGGGAGAAGGCCAAAGATGCACAGAAACACCTTGCACAGGCCTTCTCCGTGCTGGGGATCCCCGAGGAAATTAAGTTGGACAATGGCCCAGCCTATGCTTCCACAGCCTTCCAGAAGTTCCTGCAGAAGTGGGGAATCAAACATAAGACTGGCATCCTGTATTCGCTGCAGGTCAGGGCATGGTTGAGTGTGCCCACCAAATGCTCACACGGGTCCTGGAGCAGCAGCAGGGCGACACCCAATTTGACACACCTCACACCAAATTACACAAAGCCCTCTTTACCATCAATTTTCTGAACTGCTCCTTCGAAGTGATGAGTCCTCCCATTGTGAGGCACTTCGCGAACTCTTCAAAATTACGCCTCAGAAAACACCCTCCCGTAATGGTGAAGAACCCGGAGACTGGAAGAATGGAGGGCCCACACAAGTTAGTCACCTGGGGATGTGGATACGCTTGTGTGTCCATGCCCCTAGGTTTGAGATGGGTCCCTCAAATGTGGGTCTGGCCCTACACTGCCAGCCGAGGGCCTCTGTCAGGGCCAACCTCTGACAAAGTGAAGTATGCAGCGCTACGCCGTCACTGGCATCCCTCCCAAGAACATCGGGAGTCCCCCAGTGGCCGGGACAGCCCTACCCCAGATCCATTTCCTCCCCTGGAAGTTTGTGGAATTGTTTGGTTAATCCCCATCTGCTTGTTTTATTTCAGACGACCACGCGGAGCCCTAGCATGTGGCACCTCACAGTCATCATCCTCGTGTGCCTCAGCCATCCTTCCTTGGAGTGGATCGTTCCACAGCCTCAGAAGAACGTGTGCGTGACCCTCGCCCAGGCTGTGAGCCAGGACCATCTATGTTTGTCAATGGCCTCAGCGCAAGACCCGCTGTCGATCTGCCTGGTGGGGATCCCATTCAAGCCCCAAGAGTTTCCAGCGTTGATCATCACCCTGAAAGATCAGGATAATGCCTGGAAGCTCCTACGTGGCTGGCCTCCCTCTCCCACTTTCCCCGTGGTGAACCCCCTCTTCTTGTGGCAGGAATGGGCTAAGGACCTTCCCAAAGCAAAGCAAAGGAGGATCCCCAGGAGTTTGAATTGTTAGGTTCGTCCCCTGCCTCATTTTGTGTACATTTTGCTTACAAATCCCCATCCTACCCTGAACGTTACCCCAGAGTCATCCAACCTTTCCTCAATTATCAGGCAGCCGCATGGTGCAACCGAACAGCCCAGGTTGAAGGGGCCCCCATTGAAGAACCACATCAGCTAGACAAGGGGGTCTTCCTCATCTGCAGTGATCAGGCGCCTTCTTGGAGGGCCGTGTACTTTGGGGCAGTTGACCTTGTTTTCCCCCAACAAGACCCAAATTGCCAATTGGAAACGTAAAGGCATCTCATTTGCTGTCCAAAGGAGAGAATATAAAAATTTGGACCCAAATTGCAACTCCAAAATTTTTCATTGGACAAAATCTAAAAGAGTTGTGGTGTCAGTTTTTCTACCTTGGGTAGCTGCAGCAAAAGCTCTAGGAGAATTGGGCCGCCTAGTGTTGGGTGGCTAAACAAGCCAATCTTACGTCTTCCGCCCTCAGTGACCTCCTAGCAGACGAGGAAATAACCAGGAGGTCGACCCTGCAGAATAGGGTGGCCATTGACTTCCTGCTATTAGCTCATGGCCACGGCTGTGAGGAATTTGAGGGGCTCTGTTGCTTCAACTTAACATCAAGAAGCCAGAGCATCCACTCCAAGACCAGAGAGCTTCAAGGATTCGTCACTTCCATGAAGCAGGAAGGTGAAGGATGGCTGGACAAGCTGTTTAAAGGCTGGGGACTCTCGTCGTGTTTGGCATCTATTGTTAAGACTGTTTTGTTAATTATCCTCGTGTTGATATTGATCTCGGTTGCCTTATCAATTTTCAAATGTATTATCACCTGCAATGTCTCCTCGGGAGTGTCAGTCAACAGTGCCAAAATGACATCGAATCAAGATTGGCTGGCCAACGAAGACCCCCCAGCTGACAGCGAGTCAAACAACGAAGCAGCATCCGAATCTTAAAAAGAAAAGGGGGAGATGTTGTGGTGTGCTGTTTTGTCTTAGTGTTCTCCTTTAAGTTAGACGGTTTGTTCTCATGTTTGCACCCCTAGGTTGCTGCAATATGGTTCAGTCCCTTCCCTCCTCCCCCGTTATCCCTCAACCCTATACCACACCTACCTTCCAGAATGTTCCCTGTTTGTCTCCCGAATCTCCTCCCAAAGCCTTCTCAGTCCTCACTAGCTCCTCCCATTGTTCGAGAATGTTCCATGTCTGTTATTCCCTCCTTGTTAAGTGATTTGATGTTGTACCCGGGTTACCACCCATGTATCTCCTCATTGGTTTACCGTTCTCTTTTCCCCGCCTTAGATACCTCCCCTCGTCGATCGCAATTGGCCAGAGGTTTGTACCCTCCCCCTGTACCGCCCCTCTATTTAAGTCCATGCACAGCCTGTTTCACCGCCTTTTGCGGTTCCCTCTCCCAGACCTCATACCTCTGTTTGGTCCCTTCAATAAACCTCCCTTCCTGGAACCATGAAAGGTCTCTCCTGGACTCTTTATCTCTCCCGGACAGATTGCCCAGCTATAGCGAAAGCTGTACCTCTTCTGTGGCTCCCAGTGCGGTGCCGGGGAGAGGCCACTCCTTGACGCGGGCTTCTTGGAGCTAGCAGGGAGCCCAGGCGGAGTGGGCGTTTTGGGGAAGGCGCGTCAGTCCAGGGAGATGCTCATTTAGCTACTACTCCCAGCTCCAAATCTCCACCTCCTCACAAAGGTGCTCAACAGGGCTGAAGATTAGATACTCTCTCTCAGTCAATTTGATTGGAATTCCTACTGCTTTTTGAACAGCCACAGAATTGAAGCAAATTTTCTTTGCCACAATGACTCTGTGAGAGCTACTCTGGTAAGCAGGGAAATATAGGCCTCAAAGGATAAGGGTAATCTGCAACTCCTCCTATGAATATCTCTCCCAGTTCACCCAACTCAGCTCACTTCTCTGGTTTATGCTGTATCACCAGTTCAGACAGTATTTGTGAAGCCTGCATTTTGCCCTTTTTTTATATTAACAGAACTTTGCTGAAATCAGTATTAGTTTTGTCCATGAAAACAATGTAAAAGATGTTTTGGTATTCACCTGGCACAAAGCAGTAAATTATGTATTACCATGGCTTTTTAAGCAGTATCATCTAGCCAAAAATGTTCTTCTGCCATCTGCACTCTCACTACATTAAAACTATTTTAAAGCCAGCATTAACTATGACTTGTATTACAGTATGAAACCTGTGATACAGCCTAAATAACTTACAGCTTACACAGGCAACACAGATACCTGAAGAAGCAGGTGATCCGTAAGCAGATGACAAGGAGCCTACTAACTTTATCAAGCCTACTAACAGCATCTGCAGAAAGGTAATACAGCCTACTGCACGTAATGGCACAGGGAATGCAGTGATGCTAACCACAAGATGCTGAGGGCTCAGTGGCCCGCATTGTGTCATGGCTAACCTGAGCAGGCACAAGTCTGTGCTGAGCACAGCCAGTGTGGCCTTCAGGCTGCGTTGGGCCATGCAAGACTCTTGGTGGTGGGACAAGCTCAGGCAGCACAGTGTTGGAAGAGCCAGCAGGCAGCTGCCAGTTGTACCAGAGCTTATGCCATCTGCATATCCTTGCCTTTATCTGAAAGTGGTAGTTTCAATAACTAGTGTTTTAAATGGCTTTTTAGAGTCAGTGTCTTTCTTACTGAGATCATATGTACCAGCTATGTCCTATGTATGCAAGCACATACAACTTCTCGTGGAACCAGAGAGGGTGCTGGCTCATGTCCCACAAGGACATTTTTGGTAACACTGGAAAGGTTACAGCAGTACCTGATGAGAGGTAAAAGGCAAGTGCCACAACCATGTTCTAGGAGGAGGATCCAGGGAATTACCAATTTGACAGTCTCAGTCTGAGAGGTAAGAGTACATCCTCTGTGAATCCATACCTAGGCACATAAAGGTGATGGTAGTTTGAAACAGTTGGCACAGGCCTACACTGTCAAGTCATGTCTGCCCAACCTAATTCCCTCTACAAAGAGGTGTCTGATCCTGTAGATAAAGGGCAAGTGGTAGAGAAGCTTCCACACCTGGCAGGGAAAGGCAAGAAAAGAAAGGAAAGCTATTAGAGAACCAGTACGGCACAGGTTGGACATGTGGACTTGTAGAAATATAAGTTTGACAAAGACAAATGCAAATTCCTTCACCCTTGCAGAAATAACTCTATGCAACAGTATGGGCTGGGAACCAGCTGGTTAGGAAGCTTTAAAGAGCTGCGTGCACCTGTGTGCAGCTTAACAGCAGTCAGCCATGTGATCTTGAGGTGGCAATGACCGTCAGAGCCAGCAAGCAGGTCCCAGAGAGCAAGCTGCCTTCTGGTTTCAGCACTTGTGAGACTTCATGTGGAGAATTGTGTCCTGTTTAGCATTCCCTAGCACGAGAAAGCCACTGACAGTGAAGCAGGTGACCAGCAGACACTGCCAAGGTGGTCAGAGAGATGGAGTACATGCCATTTCCTGGAAAGGATGAGAGAACCAGGTTTTTTTAGCCTTAAGGAAAGAACCATAAGCTGGACAAATTCTAACAGCCACACACTGCAATTTCACCCTGTTAGAAAACCCAGTACAATAAGGAAAGAAGACCTAAGGAAGAAAGTGACAGACTTGTCAGAGAGATACAAAAGTCTGTCAAACACATACATTTAGATGAGCAGCTAATTTGTAAGAAACCTGCTTCTTTGGTTGAATTCAGAGTTGCAATGTCAGTTTACCTTTATCCCCTCATTTGCTGTTATTACTACTGGTATTCTGTTCCTTCTAGGACCATAACATTGGAGAATTGGATCTGAAATGAGAGGTGTTACTTACATTTTAAAAGTCCTTTTTGCCTTTTCCTCTCAGATAAGTACATTTAATTTTCCTTGCACCAGATAATCCAGAAACACTGTCCTATAAATCATTCTTTCCTCCTTATAGCAAAAACTTCAAGTTACTACCTTTTTATTTAAAACAGAAATGTTTGATATTATTACAGTAAGACATCAAGAAATAGGTCCTAATATTTAGAACCAAATGTTATATTTACTGTTCCATCTAATCATGTTCCATTACCATGAAAATTTCTGCTTTTGATGTGACCTGAAATATATAATTCTTCTACTGTGAACTTGCATTATGGAGCAGTCCAGAATACCTTTTAGGAAATCTCTTAACATTCTTCACTTTGAAACGACATTATCTCAACTAGCTGCGCTTCCTGAGAGCACTGCCTGCATTCAACAAGAAGGATGTTGCTGGGTTATAATGACGTGCAAATTTGTGGCCAAACTAATACCCAGTAGGATTAGACTAGTCCTCAAGCTGTTCTTGCCAGCCTAGTCTATTTGGAAACCTGCCGTATTTCTTGGACTAGCCATGGCCTTGTTCTACAGTTTGAGGGAATACCTTAAAAAGAACTAGGGCACAGTAAAGTTTCTGAGAGCCTTCTGTTTTTTAATAGCTTGCCTTAGTGACAGAACTTCTTAAGGATACTCTGATGCAGGTACCTGGCACTGCCATAGCACATTCATTGATTTCATTTTCTTTAATAACCGTAAGGCAAGAACCAACCCTCATTGTTAAGAGTAACATCCATGTCCCTGTGTGAGAATATTGTAGGTTTCATAAATTGACACCGAATTAACTGGAAGTTTCACTGTGACCATCAACAAAAAAAGCAGCTTATTTTCCCCATTAAAAGGAAAACATTCTAGAAGAATATGGATTCTGAAACTGCAGTGAGATACACTGCAAGTGTGGAAGTCTACATAGCACCTGAAACAAGAAATTAGTTTGTGATATACTGTAGACAAGAGACGACAGAAACTGCAAAAGCTGCTTTCTGCCAGAAGCCTACATATAACTTGTGAGAGCAGCTGCTACAGGAGTGCTGTTGCACTCTCCAGTAATGTGGCCATACCTCTGCTGGGGTTGCAACCTGTGTTGTGAATTCAGCTTGTAAGAACAGCAGTTATCTGAAGGGCTCTGACACACACCACTGCCAGGTACAGTGAGGCAATATATGCACACCATGCATACACACAGCACCAAAACATTAAGACTGTTAAGAGAGAAGTTGATTCTGAGAGCAAACAAAGAGGATAAGGCAAGAACCAATGACTGGTACACACAGCCACATAAACCATTTTCTGTTTGACATCAGCTCTTAACTAAGCATACTTTTTCAGTATCATTAATTTCATTCCCCTTCTTGTTGGAGAAACTATGCAATATTTCTTGTTGATTCTAAAAGTTTAAACACAGATCTGGAAACCTTATACACAAGAAAATTGCACTGAAATATCTGCAGAGCAGTCATGCTGCAAACACCTTTATTGAGATCTTCTTGCTTGCACTGGACCACAGGCATGAGAGTGGCTTTCTAGACAGCACATATTGAAAATGAAGACAAGGACAATGGGGTGGGGAAGAAGAAAAAGTCACACACATAACATTGCCTTTAAGGTGGAAAAGTGGAGAAGGGAGGAAGAGAACAGGAGACACATGCAATTATTGTAGCAGAGATAGCTAAACATTAACACAAATGCAAAAAAAGGAGGGGCAGGTGTGACTTCATCATCTAAACCAAACAGTATGAATAACATGACTCTAGCCTTGCACAAGCAAAATAAAATCTGTGGATTATTCATACCGTTTGAAGTTTAAAGACTCCTATTCTTTTACATGCTAAACTTCAAAGGAAGCTTCCTAACTCATTTTAGGAGAAATATTTCCATAAAACGGCACTGTAATTAGCTCTATTAACTTCTACAAGGATTACATCAAATGACACTTGGTCAGTTTCCTACTAACAAGCAATTTTTCCTAAAACTGTAACTCAAGATCCAGTAATGTAGGTTCCAAACAGGCAAAAGCTTTTGCTGTTACAGTCCTAAACAATGCGCTGTTCCCAAAAGCCTCAGAAAATAAACTCAGAGGTGGTTCACTGGGTTATAATTTCCTCAGGTCCTCTTCACAGTGGTAGGGGCAAGGAAAGAAAGGGACGCAGGGAAGTTTGTGTTTATAGACTGTACAAAATAAATCCTAAAACCTCTCACATGACAAGCATAAAAACTCTCAAGATATCCCACGCTCCACCTTCCTCCGTTTTTACCTGATCTGGCAAATTACCTCTAATTTTCCTTGGAGTCTTCAAGCATGGTCCTCAATTTGGGCAGTAAGGCTATACTATCCGTCACGGCAAATCTCAATGGCCTAACGGACATTGTTCAGAGAAAGAAAAGGCTTCGAAAAAAGATACTGGCAGGTCAATTTAAAAAAATCCCTCTTCTAGCCACCAGTGTTACATTCTATGCAAACACTATCAACATTGGGCAGACTTGCTCCCATCACTGGTTCCCCTACTCCTGCTAGAATATTAATTCATCTAAATCCACAGGGAAACAACCCAACTCAAATCAATCAACCAAAGGAAAAAACAAATAAACAAAAACCCATAACAAACAAACCAAAAACAAAACCAAAAACCAAAGAGGACAAGGATGGGAAGAAAAAAGAAAAACAAAAAACTTAATCAAATAATTTCTCATACTCTATACACTAAACAAAACATATTTTTCTTTCAAAGTAACTAAGCAGCATCCACCAAAATTTAAATGAAAACTTTAATATATTATTTTAGAAACAGCAATTTTAAAAAAATCAATCAAAATTAAAACCAACATTAAATATACTATACATGTGTGCAGCACAAGTATTTAACTACTCTGAAACAAGGTTAGTCAAGTAACCTTAAGAGTTAACAAATAAGTTTGCCTCCAGTTTCAAAGCTACTATCAATGATTAACATTAACATGAATAAAAGAATTCCCATATATTATAATAATCTTCTGCTAATAAACACTTTAAAATACCTGGTTTTCTTTTAATACTTGTAAAAATATTTTCTCTCCTTTTTGTCTAGGATAGGATTTTTTCCTCACACCTGAATATTTAGAAGACAATCTTTCACAGTGAATTAAAATTTGAGTCTTCAGATTGGCACAGTCAGAAGGGACTGTATTTGAACAATAATTTATTCAACTGATTTTCTCCAAGAAAAAAATGAGTCTCCTGTACCTTTCTTTTAAAAATCAAGTAAGTACTTGAAAAAGTAAAATAACAAAATGGTTTGTTCATTGTTATACACTTCCTGATAAATTCTGCTACTCGGGATTACCAGTCTAAAACACACAGGATTTTGCAGAATGAAAAAAATCAAGACACAAATATTTGAAATCTTATTCCAATACTGTCACCATAAGAAACAAACTGCCCAGTTTTGCTCCAAAAAGTAATCTCCTTGACTCGCTTTTACATTCTAACTCCTGATAAAAGACACACCATTTAACTTTAACTTCAAGAACTCTTCAAGGGAAATCTGACTTAAACATCTCCTAATATACAGTCCACAAGTTTGCACATGTTATTTATTCAAACGTTTCTTCAATTGGTCTAGATGCCTAGTATCAGCATCCTGGAGAATTAATACAGTAGCTTTAGACTGAAATGGATTGAACTCAATAGTCATCAAACAACAGAGATCTATCAGCTGTTTTTGACATTTCTCTAAACCATCCTTAAGTTTTAGACGTGAAGCTGGATCCTTTTTCAGCTTATTCATTTCAGGCACTGAAAAGCCAATTAAACTTGTTAGAATATCATCAGCAAAATCTACTTCAAGATAAGCAGAGCCATCAGAAATTTTTGCTTTTATACCCCAGGACCCACTGCTTTTTGTGAGGTTTCCAGTGAGAGTGACAATAAAACATTTAACTTTCAGAATTGTCAGAGTTTCTGGTTTTTTTGCAAGGAGAAGGGAAATATATGTGAAAGGTGGAGAATCTAAATCTAAATGTGTCTCTACTGCCTTGCAAGGAAAGATCTGTGAATCACGTTTCTGCTGATCTCCTTCTGGATCCATTTTTAAGGCAAAGACAGGATCATCATTTAACACCCTGCTATCAGAAGTGTGCTGGTGTTTACATCTGCTCTCGTCTAGGTCTGTACAATTCTGCCCTTCCTCAGGAGGATTTTCTGAAGAAAAATCTGATGAACTGCAGGTGTGATGTAAGCCCCTGTGCTGCAAGAAGTCACTCATGCTATTTCCATCTTCATCAAATATCGTTCTTCCCACGTTCTTTTCCTTGCTGATTGCTTCCCTGGGCTCATCTCTTTCATTCACATTGTCTTCTTCACCAGTGCCATTCAAAGATGAATTGCAAGAGCTTCTAGATATATGTGGAAGTCTGCCAGCAATTAAACCTATGCTTCTGTTTATGTCCACTGGTGGCACTTCTTCCATTTCTCTTTGCATCTCTTCTTCCAGAAGTAAGTCATCTTCTAAAGGAAAGTCATTTAAAAAGCCATCAGCATATTCTATGGGAGGTGAAACTTGTTCATCTGCATGAAGCAAAGGACTTCCAGATTTTTGTAGCAAAACATTCCCATTGTGTGCTGTCAGTGAACCTGAGGCTGTATTAAAATTGTTGCTTCTACTGCCATATCCACTTTCTAAAGACGTTCTATTGTTTAAAGTAAATTCATTGTTTTCATCAAGGCTGGCTAAAAGCTCTTCATCTGAAGGGTCAAGAGTTTGTTCTAATTCATCCACAGGCCTTGAAAAAAACTGTTCATGTCCAGTTTGTCCAACAGAATTAGGGTTTTCAGTTTCTCCAATTAATCTAGCAAGGACTCTTTCCTGACAATAATCCTCAAGAAGAGCATCAACTTCACCCCCCAACAGTTTTACATTTTCTGGTTTAAGCAGAAGAACTCCAAGACGATATGCAATATTGCCCTGTACAGTGATCTTTGTTCCAGGAAGAAGATTACTGCAGAGAACAGGCACCGGTTGATACTCCATACCCTGAATTTGATGTATGCCATCCGTTAGTTGTAGCATCAGCATTCGCGTAGGTTTCGCTTCCCAGGGCTTCTGAAATGTCTGAGTACTGGCTGTTACTTCTTCATTTACAGTGCTTTTCCCTCTTAGCTTCTGCAACTGTGAATATGCTGATTGGCTGACATCCACCAGTGAATCAATCTGTATGGAGTAACAGCCCGATAGCTCTCCCTTGGGAGTATCTAAGATACAGTTAGGCAAAATGGGATATTCCAAGTCTCTTAGATCAGTAAGAAGCCATTGCTCAAATACCTGCTTGTTAATCTGAGCTTGACTTAAATTACTACCACTATTTTCTTCCTGGATCCAATTAATACATGCTTCCAGCCATGTTAAAGGAACTTTAACGTGCCATGTGGATGAAAGCCAGGTTTCCACTCTTGCTGCAATGCTAGATGTAGACATTTTCTTTTTTGGTAAGAGACTGAATTCCCTAAAATGGAATTCAAAAAGACATATTTAATCTTCTGACAAAAACTGAAATTATTACAAGTTTCACGCTCATATTATATAAAAAAAAAAAAAGTTAAAAACACTTCTGCAGACAATAAAATTCACGGGCATTTCCAACATTTAATGTTTCAATCAGCATAAAAAGTATGTGAAAAATACAGGAAAAGTATGAAGACTTATACAAACAACCAAACTTTTTTTTTTTCTGTTGATTAAGAAACATATAACTGAAGCCCTTTTCTTATAGATTTAAAGTGAATGGAGAAAAAAGAGCAGTAAAACCAAAAGAGCAGTATGCTTTAAAATATATTTCCCATAATACACAGTTTATTTTAAAAATTGACCTGAGATTTTACTCTCTCACTTCACCAGCACTGCTATGAACAGAAGTAAGAGGATCTATAGAACCAAGCTGGGGTCTATCAAGAGGTATCAGAGGGATGACTTTCAGTCTGTGTCTGAAAGCTTTGTACCCAACAACAGAAAGCTGGCTTCAAACATTGTTATCTAGAGATGCAGGGCAGGACTTGGCTACAATAGCACCAACTCTTGGCAGCTACCATTTCAAGGATATCAGGGGCAAATAAACTCTTATTAGTTTAGGAAGTAGCTCTGCACAAATAAAGTAGACCAGAAGTATTTCAGTTGGAAGGGACTTTGAATGACCATTTAGTCCAACCACCTGACCAATTCAGGGCTGACCAAAAGTAGAAGCATGTTGCTAAGGATATTGTCCAGATACATCTTAAACACTAACAGGTTTAGAGCATCAGCCATCCCTACAGGAAGCCTGTTTCACTGTTTGATCACGCTCTTAGAATTAGAATCTTTCAGGTTGGACAAGACTTCCAAGATCATTGAGCTCAACCTTTGACTGAGCACCACCAAGTCAACCAGATCATGGCACAAAGTGCCATGTCCAATCACTTCTTGAACAATTCTAGGGATAGTGACTCCATTCTCTCCCTGGAAAGCTTTCTGGAAAAATCCCTGATGTCCAACCTAAACCTCCCTTGGTACACTTTAACCGCCTTGCAATAATTTCCTTTCAAATAGATGTGGAGAGCAATAACATCTCCCTGAGCTTCCTTTTCTCCAGCCCTGCTCCCTCAACTACTCCTAACAACACTTACTCTCTAGGCCTTTCATAAGCTTTGTTTCCTTGGTAAAGAAATTATTCCTATTGTGAAGTCTGAACTTTCCCTGATACAGCTTTGAACCTCTCCCACATCTTCTGTTGCTGGATGCCAGGAACAGACCAGCACTCCCTCTCCAGGTGCCCTCCTCAGGCAGCTCTAAGAGCAATGAGGTCACCCCTGAGCCTCCTTCTGTCCAAACCAGACAAACCCAGAGCCCTCAGCTGCTCCTCACAGGATGTGCCTTCCAGCCCTTCCACCAGCTCTGCTGTCCTCCCCTGGACCATCCAAGGACCTTCCCACCCTTGTCAGACTGTGGGGCCCAGCACTGCCCACAGGACTCCGGGTGAGGCCGCACCACGGCTGAATCCAGCAGGATGATCCCAATCACAGCTGGTGATGCTGTGTCTGATGCACCCCGGGATGGGTTTGCCCTCCTGGCTGCCCGGGCACACACTGCTGACTCACCCTGAGCTGCTGCCAACCAGCACCCCCAGATCCCTTTGGCAGGGCTGCTCTACACACACTCCTCTCCCTGCTTATACTGTGCACAGCTTTGCTGCATCCCAGGGGCAGAATCTGCATTTGTTCTTGTTAAATTTCATGCCACTGATAGTTACCCAGTGCTCCAATGTATCCAGATCCCTCCGCAAGGCTCTTGTCCGTCGAGAGCCCTTCCCGATCTGGTATCGCTAGCACACCTGCTAACGGTGCATTCAAATCTTGCATCCATGTCACTATTCCAAACATTGAAAAGATATTATTAGGTTGCCTAACTGTGCATGAATCACGTTCAATCACTTAGAAAGAGCAATTGAGGAGCTCAATCTCTACAGAACACAACGAAAACAAAACCTACAATAAGATTATTTAAGAAACACCAGGCGTGAGTTTTGCTGGGTTTCCTGGGGTCTTTTTGCCATTACAGTCTTCAGAGCGAAGAACACATTGCCTCTAAGCTCTTCCCAAATGATCCACCACTCGGAAGATACCGCGTAGTTACTTAACCTAAGTAAGGAGCCACCTTTCAACAGGGGAGGTGAAAGGGGTGCGGGAGGGAGGGAAGCAGAGGCGGGGGGAGAAGGAAGATCTGACTGAGGATGGGCCGCACCTCGCAGCCCCTCGGAGGGGCCGAGAGCTCCAACTCACCGGGGCGAACAAGCGGTGGCGGCGGGGAGGCCTCGGATCCCGCCGGCCTGAGGGACAGCGCAGCGCCGGAGCCCGCGCTCCCCAAAACCGCCGCGCGCACCCACCAGCCAATGGGAGGCGCGCGTCGAATCATCGCGAGAGTCTCGCCACAGCCGGCGCCGGGCTGCACGCACAAGGCGGAGTTTTAGCGGCCGCCATTTTCTCGCCTTCTGGACTGAGCTGCTCACGCTTTCCTGGGCCGCCCCCGCTCTGCCCGCGCCGCTCTCAGCGCGGCTCCCGCAGCCCAGGTAGGAAAGGCCAGCCACCCGCAGCACGGTCTAACGGCGTTATCCTTTCCCTGGGCTCGTCTCGTCCCTTCCCTCACGGAGGGCGGTGCGAGTCGCGGCGCCACCTCCTATGCTGACGGGCAGCGGCCTCACCCAACGAGGCGGCGGCGGCGCCGTGCGGGGGGCGGTGGCGGGGCCAATCGCGGGTGGCGCTCGTGGATGTGCGCGTCGGAGGCCGGGGCTGATCCCCTTTCTCTCCCGTAGGAAGCGGGGCCGGCGGCAGGCGCAGGTACGCGCAGCCCGCGGCGCCGTGCGGCCGGGGCCGGCGAGGAGGGGAGGGGGGCGGGAGCAGGGCACAGGCCGGTCCAGACCTCGCCTAGGCCGGTAGAGCCGCCACTGTACTTCGCTCGGCGACGTTGCGTGACGCAGCGGCGCGAGAAGGCCTGTGTCTCCTGTCGTGGGGCCTCAGCCGCCGAGGGCTGGCGTGGCCCCACGGCTTCCGTGGGATCCCGAGGGGTTGGCGGTAGAATGGGGAAAACGCTGCGTGGAGGACACCCCGCCTCGGCTGTTGCTGAGGGCCCGTAGATGGCCACTATCCCAGTTGCCCCGTGGGGACGGCGCGGCTTTTGCAGCGCCAGCGGATGCGTTCTAAGGGCGGAGGCGCGGCGGCCGCCTCCGCCGGCCCACGGTAACTATGCCCAGGGCGAGCTCCTGTTGAGGATTATGGCGGGCGGAGAGAGGGCGCTCCGGGCCGCAGCCTGCGCAGAAGCAGCTGCAGAGGCCGATTGGGGGGCGGAGGCACCGCATCCCGGCCGCTCCGCTTTCGGGGGCGGGCGAAGTGCCCGTGGCGCTAGGGCTGACCTGCTCCGCCCGCTGCGCCGGGCTTCGAGCCGCCGGGCACCTCCTTTGTGTCCAGCGGGGCAGAGCCGGGTAACGCTCCCCGCGGCCGCGTGGTGGTGGCGGCGGCCCTTCCGCTCCCGGCTCCGCCTCGTAGCGGGCAGGCGGGCGGGCGCCATTTCGGAGGGCGCCATTTCTTCTGCTCCGCGGGGGTTCCGCAGCGCCGCCGCTCTCGCTCCTGTCCCCGCCGCGCTGAGCGGGCGGCTGGAGACGCAGAAAGGAGGGAGGGAGGCAGGAAGGCAGGCGAGAAGTGCCCCTGCGCCTTGGAGGCGCTCTGGCATTCCTCAGGTCTTGGGTCCGTGGTCGCTAGTCTCACCTCTCGTGCCCGCTTTAGCCATTTCTTGTTCATAAAGAACCTGACTTTATAAGTAGTGTGAATGTCCTCGATTTACCTAACTGAGCGAGGTTACTGAGAATACATGAGGTATGGAGAGATTTGACTAGGGGAGACTAAGCCTTGAATTGTAACTGATAACAGTTTGCTCCCCGCTGCCTTGAAATTCTTGGGATAGTTGTAAATAGATTAACCGGTGTCTGAAAGGGCTATTAGACTTTGTCCATGTCTTCCTTACTGCTCGTCCGCGTAATAGCACAATTTTGGCAATGTCTGCCGGAGATCCCGCTATTACTAAACTTGTGCATGCCCGTTAGCCCGCTTCAAGTGCTTGGAAATACCGGCGTACGTTGGGAAGGCAGAGCCTGCTTTTAGCCCGTATGTGGCTGTTTGAGAGTACGTTTAATAAATAGGAATCAGCCTCTTCCCCACCCCCATTCCCTTTCCCCCGATTATGAATATAAGCATGAGTCCCTGCTGTTTGTTGAGGCAATGGAAGTTAATGCAGTGCAAGGGGAAATACGTGATTGTGATGTGTTTGTAAATCGCATTTTAAATGATAGTAAATTGCAAAATTGTTTCTTTTATTTACACTTCTCGCTAATGTGACTCAGTAGCTAAAAGCAGGTCAAAATCTATTTCAGAAAATTGTACTGAAGTACAGCTGCTTTTGGGGGTTTTGGGAGTGTGTGCATGCAGTAGGTTGTATGTAACTACAGAGGATGGTATTTTTAAAAACAGATTATTTTAGTGTAGTTGGAAGTTGTAATTTTTATTCATCAATTATAGTTGAGAGGACTGCACACCTAAATGCGAGTTAGTGCATTGGTAGAGAATTTGTAGAACAAATGCTGACAAGTAACCCAGTAGGACTTTTTATTAAGTGTAAATAGTGTTGACCTAAATAGCAGGACCAGATTCTGGTGTAGTGCCCTTTAGAAAGTGAAACCAAGGCATATATGATATAATGTTGAGATTACGTGGTTACTTAAAACTATTGTGTGCCCAAAAACTGTAATTCAGACATTAAGAGTTTATGTAAGTCTACAGATTTGGCCTTTATCATCTCCTAGGGGTGTGTTTGGCTTGGATATGCTTTTTCTTTTATAAAGAAAAAATTCACAGCAATAGCTTAGGTCAAACCTTTGTTTCCTGGCTGTAGTGAGAACCAGACTCATAATGTGGGGAGACTCACAACTGATATGTGCTGTTTTCATAGGCTCTTGAAGCAATAGGCTGTTGGATTTTGATCCCGCCCAGAATACTTGAGTTTTTTTCAGCGAGAATATATAATACCGGTAAGTTCTAGCAGCAGGCATTTATTTCTGTTATTTTTTTCACTTTAGCATGAGGCACAGTTTGTCTTTTGACAAAAAAAATGTACCATCTTTATTTTTCAACAGGTTTTGCTTGTCCACGTAAGAAAAAAAGGCAATGGAGACTGAACAACAGGAGGAGACCTTTACCAACACAGAGACAAATGGTAAATTTTTTAAAGGACTATTCTTTTTTAGAAAGAACCTCTTAAAAATTTTAGTATTTCAAATAATTTTGTAATGATTGAACTTGACCATATGTTAGGATCAGCAGTAATTTTGTATTCTCCATTAAATATCTTTAGTTTTAATTAATGTGTCATTGCACATACTTTTGAAGCATAAACACTTAATCTTTCTGATGGCATGTTTTAGACATGAGAACTGAAAGTTATGAATAAATACTGAAAAATACTTAGTAGTTTTGTGGAGAAGCCATAGTTCATAGATTTTTAAATGCATTTTCAGTTATTAATCAGTAAGAAACCTGTTGAAGTGAAGACTTGTTTCTGTGCTGTGCATGCTCAGAATAGAAGTCTGTAATAAGTTTCTGTGCTAATAGGAAAGAAGGTGTAAATAGTACAGAGCATAAATTTGGCGCATGTTCCACTTTATTACGACTTAGAAAGTTAAATAAATGTTTATGCTTCCCCCCTATGGACCTCTCTACAGGCAAACGTCCTGCAGAAGATATGGAGGAAGAGCAGGCCTTCAAAAGATCTCGGAACACTGATGAGATGGTTGAATTGCGCATCTTGCTTCAGAGCAAAGTACGCTTTATTCTTTTTATTGGTTTTGTGTAGCATGTTCAAGATGGTGACAAAGTGTTACGTTGGAATATAAGTGTAGAGAAATTATGTGGTTTTTTTTGAAACAAGATAACTTATAGAGTAATTTCCAGTGTGTAGGAATGGTAGTTGTAGGTGTATTGCAATGACATTGTCCTCGGGGTTCTCTTAAAAGGGTAAGTCCCCAAGGATCAAGGTTTATTAAAAAGATATATTTGCTAAGAAGTGAGCAGTAAAGATCCTAAGATACTTTTACATTTGAGTGGAAGGTAGCTGTTTTGAAGGGAATGACTGTGTATGAGTCTTTGGAAAATAAGGTATTTAGAGGATTATAAATCAGTGATTTTAAATTGAGACAAGAACTTAGGATTTTAGTAACTCTCCCAAAAAGATCTACTAAACTTGTTCAACTACATCAACAGGAAGAAGTGTGGGAGTAGTGCTTCAAGGATTGCAGTGATTTTGTTGACAAGTGTGAATAGTTATTGTTTATGAATTTCCTCTCGTGTTTCCAGTTGCTACAGATGATTTATACTTTCTGAAGTATCTCAGTCTTTTGTGTTGGTGTGAAAGAATGTTGCCTTAACTCTGTGTGGCATTTCCGACTGATAGCCAAGTTACTTGGAGTACCGTGAAAGTTTCACATGCTGTTAGCATAATGTATATGCATAATAAAAGTAGTACTTTTCATAGAATCCTCGAAAACTTGGTAAAAATGTAGTTTTGCAATTACTGTTTTTTACTATTTGTCAGTTTATTCTTGTTAATGTTGGTGGCTTGAATGAAGTTGGTGGCTGTTAACATTAATTTCAGCCTTTTTCAGTTTATATTGCTCTGAGAAATGAGTTACTTTGCAGATGTGCAAAACAATACTAGCTCTTGAAATTATCAAATTTGTGTTTGGAGCACAAAAGTGGAATTTTTAAACATACTCCATAAGGTAAAAAAAAAAAGCTGATCAGACACTTGAGGAAATAGTTGACCTAAATTGCATTCATTTAGTTTGTTTTTTTTTTTTAATAGATTTAGTCTATGAGAAGTTCAACATGGGCAGAATTGCCTAGAAACTTCTCTTTGGAATTGAAGTATTAGTGGCAAAGCTGAGTTATCTTGCTTTCTCTGCTCTGTTCTGTGGTTGTAAGAGCTTTTGGTAATTTTTTTTAATGTGGACAGACTTTCTGTTGGCTTCAGTTTGGTTTGAACCTTTCCAAAGTTATGCCTGCTGCCACCTCTTGGGCCAGCAAAAATAGACCTACTGTTTTTAGTCTTGAGTTCAAAAACTTAATCTGTGTTGTCATAATGTAACCTCTGAAAACTATTTTCCAGAATGCTGGAGCAGTGATTGGAAAAGGTGGCAAAAATATTAAAGCACTTCGTA